GATTTGAAGACATAACTAACTTTCTTTAAAACTCCTGGGGGAGGTTTGGAAAGAAGTTTTAAAGAAAGTTAGTTATGTCTTCAAATCACTACACAAGTCCTTGCAAGGGAAATTTTAGAGATTCTTTTAAAGTGCAAAATTGGTTCCATTTATTCCCTCAATTGTCTTCCACGATGAGCACAGGCAAGTGCATCTTATGCCTGTTTTTTCCTTGTTTTTTCATCTTTTGTAGGTCTTTATATTCAACAGTTTATGAGATACAGTGATCCAACACTATTAATACAGTAGGTCAAGGATGCAGCTAGAGCTTGAAAATGTCAGTTTGGATTTCTGCTCTGACAAGGACTTTACATATAGTCTTGCTGACTGTGTCTCTTCTGGAAAGTTTTTTCAGTTGCTAGCAAAGCAGTTGTGTTTCCTTGGGTTTGTATGTTTTGTCTTCTTGGGGCACATGAGCCAACAGACATGTCAGAGAGGTGCTTCCTTCTGCCATCTCTGCACAGGGCTGTCATGGGGCTATCACTGGGAAGTGCTGCACTGCACTGCGAGGACTCTTTGTTCTCCCAGGAATTGCAGCACTTTTAGGTCTGGTCCCCCCAGTTCCTTTTATTTAGATTCTTAATTCAACCAGATATCAAACCCTTTTGTTAATTGAAAAGCCACAAAAAATATAAAAATATCCTAGTCAGTGTATATAGATGTTTAGATGCTGTTGCAATGCTAACTGTAGTTCTTAAGGACACAGCTTACCTTTTCACTCCCTTGATTGATGTCTTGCACAGGCAATAGCAAAGAATGATTTAGCTATTCTCTGTGCAGGTGGGAGGTAACAGCAGAAAGTATGATGGTCACACAAAAAGATGGTGGAAATGTCTTACCAATAGGTTAGATGTTAGTGGGCTCAAAACCTTAATCTTGTGACAGCTGATCATTGTTTAAGAGGTTATGAGTATTTATAAAGCAGAAACACTTTATTAGATGGAGGCAGAAGGGTATAGGAAGTTTAAGCACAAAGGCACCAAAACCTCTCCAAATCCTGTGTGGCTGATGGTGATGAGAAAAGCTGACACTAACTGCTTGCCCCTGCTGGACAGAAGGCTGCTTTATGAATATGCAGTATGGGGCCAATAACTGTTCTGAACTTTTATTAATCTCACTAAGCAACTACATAATCACAGGACTGCTGTTTATTTACTGCTTCTTGTTTTACTCATTATTTCAATTTTAAGGGAAGCAGATCTTGACTGAATACCAAAATGAGTATCTCTTGCTCAACAAACATGTAAAATAAAAACAAAAACAAACAACAAAGTTCTGGTTATTTTGATTTGCATCACAGATTGTTGCAAAGGTACACATAACACTTCTTATCAATCACTAGTGATGTACAGAAAGGACAGTGTTACAGCTCATGCCATCTCATGCCATCGTTCAGGAGAAAGCGCACAATGCTGGAACCTGGAAGATGCTAGAAACAAGAAGTCATCTACACGGTATAACTGATGGCACATCATCCTTTAGAAACTTGTTTTTTAATATTTTAAAGAAGTTTGTCTTGGTATTGTATGAGTTGGGTGACACCTTAGTTCACGTGAAGATGTTTGAATTCACTTTCTCTGTTCTTCTTCCCATAAAAGCCCTCAATATTCCATTAGTTCTCTCTGAGAAAACCCTGAGTACTGTGGGCCTTGAAAAGCAGCATTAAATACATTTGCAGTAATAATTCTAGTGTTTCTCTTTCACTTTTAAGTTTGCTTTGACATTTTCCAATGTATTTTTTCTGTGTCCAGGTATTGGTTAGTGTATTTTTTATTGTACCGTTTCAGGCAACTACTCAAGGACAAGCTGCTTTGCATGGACCATTACTCTGCACTCACAAAGTTGGGGAAAAAAAGCATTTCTAAACCTCACTAGGGCTCTCAGACACAAAACTGATAATGACTTTAGTCCCAAGCCTCTTAGTTGAGGAGTAAGATTAGAGAAATCCCACAGAAGTAAGAGTGCAGTTGTGGGATTGTTAATGAAAAACTGCTTGTCGAGGGACAGGTAATGCCTACACAGGAGTGTCTACATGAGCATGGTAGCAGTAGACCTGTGCTGTGCAGGTCTTGTGTTGCTGGAAGAACTGGTCTAACCCGACTGACAGAAGTTCAGGATTTTATCATCTGGCTTCAAAATGAAGACTGCACGCAGGCACAACCTATAAAATTTTGTAGTATAAACATTAAAAAAAAAAATCTCAATTCTGCGTCTGGAAGATCACATTTCTGTAAAATAGTGATGTTTACCTGTCTTGAAGATTATCACATTGAAAGCTATGATTTGTTCAGAGAGCAATGTAATGGGGCTGGATAAGTACCATCCATAAACAGAGGCTTACTTTTAAAAACACTTTTCTTCTGAGAAGTAATGGCTGCTTAGTTTAGAGTTTCCAGCAGCTCTGAACAGCTGGCGTTGCTTTGCTTATAGCAGGCAGGACTTCTTTCTCTTAAGAGGCAAAGGACTCATCGTATTGCTTTGTAAAGAGAAAGAGGAGGGGCAGATGATTACTATTATTATTTGCAAGATTGTAAGAAGGGGAGGTTAAAAACCTTAAGATGCTTCAGATCTTACCCTTTTCTTTTTACAAGGTTGCCTGCATAAAGCCTTGTTTAAATCAATGGGCTTGAAAAAGGAGTAAAATAACTGTAAATCTAGTCATGTTTTGGGCAATGTTAAACAAACAGTACATTACAGCCTCAAAGTTCAGGAAAGGCACCAAGTCATCTTCCTGCTTGTGGTTCCTGGGCTGCTTTAAACCCATCTGTGCCCTGCTTACAAGAATTAGAGTTGATAGGAATGACTGCTGCATTTATGAGGGGTATGCAACCCGTAATATAGAGAACATAGAACAGTGCAACCATTCCCTCTTCTGTCTCAACATGCCCCCATTCCTACCAATGCTGTGGGCTGTTGCAACACAAGCCTCTATATCAGGCATAAAGATGAGCTTTTGAATACTTCTGTGAAATAGATATGCACACTATCCATTTCTTTTTGTTTGTTTGTTTCCTCTAACTGGGAGAATTATCCCAGAATTATTCCTTTTTGCGGCTCCTGTTTTGGGCATTTGGGCAGCATGCAGATTTCCCTGGTTGTATTATTTTGCCTATGAAATGTCGCAGTTAACTATAGTGACAATGGCAAGGCTGCATGTCATGGTACCTGTTGACCTGCAAAAGGTAGGATTTCTTTACGTTATATTAAAAACCATCATCAGGAATCAAGCTGCAGTTTTGTTGTATTTACTTGAACTTTCCTTAATGTTTCAGCTCTACAGTGGGTTCTTTTGATAAACAGTAAGTTAATCACCATGATACAACAATATTACCATGAGAATCCCACAGAAAGCAGAAATCTTTCCTTGCAGAATATTTTTCCTCTGACTCATTCTAGCATTTTTTCCTAATACATACCTGAAACTCAACACCTCTCATTATACACCTGAGAAGCGTATATCTCCTAAAGAAGGTTGTCCCATTATTTAAAAATTAAGTGCGCATTAATTGAAAACAATGTCTCAGACTAGAAATAACTTATGCACTTACAATTTACAAGAGGTTATCTCAACACCTGTTTTTCTGTTAGTAATAAAAAAAAAAAAGTCTTGTTGTTACCATAGAAACTGTCATATCTCTACCTACACTTCTCAAAGAAACACACCAATATATTCATTTGTTTTGTCTCTCCCTGCTCACCCTCCTACCCTCCCAACCCACCCAGTACTTGAAAGTAATCCTGGATCCTGTTAACAAATGGGGGAAGAAATGAAGCATCCTTAAGTGACAGTGTATTGTCATCAAGCCTGAAAATATGTAGGCAAAATAGTAGAGACACCTCACTGGGCAAAGTTGTTCTGAAGTTTAAACAAAGGTCCCTATCCTGCCAGCTACTTTCTGGTTGTCAAATCCCACTGCACACATGAATTTGCTTTAGGTTGAAATCAATTTATCCTTGCAATGACCATTTCAGCAAGATAACTGGAAAGAAAGGAAGATTTTCTTTCCTTTTTTTTTTTTTTTTTTTTTTTTTTTTTTTTTTCAGAAGTACTGTTTTGGAAGGAATTTATAGTTGCTATTAACAGGTGAGATCAATAGTTCACATCACTGCTTTTAAATTTGATGCTCAAATGTCACATTAGTCAATTTTTCGTTATTTCCTTTCTGATATTGTTTCCACCTTCATTAGAGCAAAGTTCTCCCATCAAAACCTCTCTGTGCAGTGGAAGGAAATGATTTCAGCTGAGACAAGGAGGCACTTAAATCTGATCCCTGCTATATTTTTATTAATTCTGTAGTTTTTCTTGTCACTTGGATACCGTGTTGAAGGAAGGGAAAATGCTTAAGTTGTTGCTATGTAGAGTGTAAAGGAAGACATTTACAGGGGAACCATCAAGTAAATAGATATAGTTAAAGCTTTAAACATAACCTTTTTTTTCTCTCTCTCTTTTTTTTTTTTTTTTTGACTCTTACTTTTAAAAACACATGTAGCCTCTACCCGTACTGGCTATCCATGAACTGCTTTTTGTAACCCTTGGATTCTGTCCTGTAAAATGCTGAGATGCTTATGTCAATTTAAACATTTTTGAAGTGAGCAAAGGTAGAGAATTTTTATTTTGAGGGTCTGCTTCCTCATATATTGAATCAGAGAGTCGTGATTAAGAATAGAGTTAAATTATATTCAGGACTCAGTAAACTCTAAGGGTTCTAACAAGTTTTAACTTTAAAAACTAAATAAAAATTGCATTACAGCATAAAAACATTCTCCATCAAATCTGGCTGAGCACTACAAATGGGTTATTTTATTTATTAATGTATTAATTTAAGCATATGAAATTCATAAATATTTCTCTCCATTATTGTACAGGAGGATTGCGTATTTTGGTATAGTAAGAAATGCAACATTGACCATATATAAACTCAAATGCCAGAGGAGGAAAAATTATGGTGTTTCTATTACAGAGTTCTGCAACTGGAGTTTTGAGGAGACTGCTGAGGTGGAGACCTGAAAGGAATCTTTTTCATCTCAGCCATCAATGACAGAGGGAAAAAGACAGCTCGCAAACCCTGCCTGCGTGACCTTGGTCTGTCTGTCCAGAAGGCCTTCAGGGATGTACAAGTAGGTACATATTATAGACCTTTGCAACTGGTAAAATGGATTTATGTGAAATTACTGAGGAAATTCAGTTGAGTGTGGTAGCCCCAAGAATATTTGTTTCTCACCAAGCCTTGGAGTACTTGAGAACTATGGGAAAGGAGAAGGATACAAAACGGCTGAGCATACAGCTGCACGAGACTGGCTATGTTGGATGGTAGGATTTTGTTTGCTCTAGGGATTTGCTTGGCACAGATAAATTATAGGCCAAATCCTCAGCTCCTTACATAACCAGAACTCCAAATGAGGGCTCTAAAAGACTTTGTGCTTAAGTAAAGACTGAGAGCAACCTGAGAGCCAAGGCCCAAATTAACAGGTCTCAGCTATTACTAGAGTCAGTGTTGCAGCACCTCACAGCAAGAACTGCCCTAGGATCTTCCTAGGGTGCACAGCTGACAATTGACTCCAGCCAGGGAGTGGGAAGGTTTCTAGGCTGCCTAGAAACTTTCTCAAACCCTGACTCTTCTTTGGATTTAGGACACAGTTTGCAGCCTGCGGTTTCATACTTCTGTATGACTAGCATTCGATACTTCAAAGTTTCCGAGTTTCATACACCTAAATTGGAGGAGACAGTGGCAGTCCTTCAGTGCAAGGGACTGCAGGACTGGGTTTTACAGTCAGACAGTGCTTGAACTCACAAATTCCACCATAAGTAATGTCCCTACCTATCTGACTGTGACAATAACAAGATTGAGATAGTTTCCACGTCCCTATAACACATGGAATGCAGGGCTCCATGATCCAGAAAGAGTAGGCATGACTTCTGTGTTGTCCTGAGGTGTGACTCCTGGACCTAGGTCAGGATAACTGGCAAGCAAACAAACAAACAAACTGAGACCAAGTGAATTGTTTTGCTCAATTTTAAATGGGAAAAGGGCTTTTAATTTCAGTCCTCTCAGAAACAAATGACATTTTGAGCAAGAAAATTCAAAGCATTCCTTTAAGAAATTGTTGAGATTAAATGCCTTTGACTTTTCTTGCATTCCTTTTAGAATGGTCAATTATATAAAACTGGTATGAGTCAGTATGCATTTTGATGTCATTGAGTTTGTAGCACTTGCAGAAAAGCATTAATTAGATTTATTTTTTTCCTGAGCTTCCCTGCAAGTATATGCTTAAGAATTTAACTATTTGGCTGGTATGTTGGACTCCAAAACTCTCCCAAACTCAAACCTACACCCAGTGGAAACACTCAGGTTCCACCTAATTTCATGCTTCAACCATGCAAAACCATTAAGTTTGCTATAGCGTTTCAGCACAAAACCATAAATCATCCTGAGAGTGCTTGAAGGGCTGCAGAATTAGTGACCCTATTCTCAAGTTTTGAAATCACAATGGAACAGCAAAGTAGGTTTCATCTTAGACATTTTGTTCAGATTTCTTTAGACATTACCCACACTTTTACTGTCTCTTTGCATCTTCCAGTATTTAAGAGAACAAGCTTTCAGCAAACAAATGCTACGAATAAAAATTAGGCATACACTGTATGAAAGGGGCTGTTCATAATCTGTCAGAAAGTGAGTAGTTTAAAACTACTCTCATATAGTAATCCCAGGCTTGTACTGTAATTTATGACATCTCAGTAGGAGAAAAGATAAAAATTCTGAAAGAGAATCTCCCCCTGAAAAAGGAAAAAAAAAAAAAAAAAGGAAGATCTCTTTCAGAAAGATTGAATGATTTAATATGAGAGAAAGAGAGAAAGACAGACTGGAAACACCAGGGTCTGCTCTATCATCAGTGTCGTAATGCAGTCAGGAGAGAGAGTTGCTGAGTCTGGTGTGGTGCGACATGTATTCCGAGCAGCTGAAGAGCTATTTCAGTATATTTGTCTCTGGGGATTGCATATTTAATACATTAAAATACGTTACTCTGAGTGTACGTGCATTTCAAATATGAGTCACGTTTGTTTCAATACATGCGTGGCATCTCCATGTAACGTGAGCATCAGCAGACAGGCAGCAAATACATTTTTGAATGTACATGTGTTTGGACATTGTTTAGACACCTTCAGAAACGGAGTATCCAAGTCTCCAAAATATTCTGTTCTATCCCACAAGGAACAGATTAGAGCTGTTAGCTGAATCTGTTCACAGTGAAAACATACAGAGTGGATGCCCAGTTGTAAAGACAGAAAGCCTGATTCATTCCTATTAAGCAGAGTTATGGAAGAAATCCATGTTGCTGTCCGCGTGTGGATAGCAACCATTCACATATCCCAGCCATCTCACGCTTTGACTGATGGGGAAAAAACATTTTAAGCATGCTGTAACTCCAAGTTGTTGCAATGTAGACAAGCCTCTGAACTTTTTACATGCAACCTTTCTGAGCTGCAGACAGAAGACTGTCTTTGCAGCCTCCTAATTGAACCAGGTGGGGAAAGATTCTTCCAGTCAAGTAGTATTTGCCTTAACCAGGAAAAATTACTGTTTGCTTGTTTTTGTATTTAACCAAAGGCAAATTGTTGTTAACAGATGCTGGCTGCCTGTAGCAAGGCAGCTTGAGAATATGCTAGTAAATATTCTTGACAACAAACTTTTTTACATAGTCAAGAGAAGAAGCCTTTAGTACAGCCAAAATAGCCACAAAATTCAGTTGACATGCTCAGATGTAAGTCATCTTCTGTTTCTTTAAAAGCAAAGAAACCACACAGTAAAAAAAGCTAAGTAAACAGAACTGCAAGAATCTTTCACAGTGTGCATTCGGCTAAATAGTGCATTTTTCTTGATAAGGCTTAACAGCGGAAAACTCTTGCACAAGATTTCATCATTGCTACGTATTTCATACATTCAATTTAGTTGCATAAGATGAAAAAATCATATCAGCAATTCCTGTTAAACAAAAGTTTTCTAGTTAACAAAAACAAACTACATATACGTTAGAAGGAATATACCCACCTTTTGTGCTGTACTGGTATGCAAGTTTCTTACCTGTAGAATTTTTTTTTTTTTTTTGTGACCAGCCACATAATCAGTGTCTGAATACTGCTCTACACTCAGTATAAAATACTGTGACCTTGATTTTAGGACCGCACGCGTGCTTAATCGTGGGAATACTCCTATGGAAACTGAGGAAAGCAGGAGAAAAGATAGGCAAGTCTGTACAGTGCTAATGTAAATTAAATGAATTTCTGCAAACATAAGAAACTCTGATTTTCATAGCAATTAACTTAAGCATTACTAGCACTGTGTCTAGGCATTCAGATATGCATTTAAGAGACTTTCTGGTAGCAAAATGTTTCATGTTTGCAATGTATGTTCACTGAGTTAAAAAATGCTGCTGTCTCTTGGTGAGACTCACATTCCTAAATCCCTTCAGGTTTAAGGGTACAGGCACTTGAAATTCATCACTGTACCTTTTAAAATGGAGACGGAATTTAAAATATCCAGCTTAACTACTTGATCCTAAACATGTGTCAGGGAAGGTACCTACACTTTTTTTCCAAATTCAGTTGTGTAATTTCAAGTTTGCAATAATGGAGAACTGCTGTAGTGGATGTAAAAAAAAAAAATCTACATTGCCAACTAATACTTTTGAGACATGGAAGCAGTGTCTGTAGTCTTGTGCAAAAGGCTATCTGATTAGTGAGGAATAGAAAATGGGTGCATGATACTAAACGATTTCTCAAGAGGCTGATCCAAGGTAAAGGGAAGAAATAGCACAGTGTGATGAGTCATTAACAAATGTTTTAGCAGAGGTGAAAACTGCATTATGCCAGCACTTTGTTACCAAGAGGGGTGCATCTTCATTTTGTGCTTATTCTGCAATGTTAGTGGAAAAATATTTCCACTACAGGGGCAGTGAGCATATGTAATGCAAACATTTTGACAGTGAATGTAAACAGCTTTCCTGCATTTTAAACCATTAAATCAAGGACACAAATTTCCATGGTTTGCAGATTGCAATCTTCGCTGACTATAGGGAAGATGGTGTTGCATCTGTTTTGTGTTTATAATTGCACGTTGTGTTGTGCCACTGTGACTGAATTTTAATAAACATGTTGTTTTTTTAATTGTCATGGACACTAGGGTCTCCCATATAGCTACGATGCCAAGAATCAATAATAAGTTCCATAGGAATGTTTTTAGAGAAATAAACACTCATTGGGATGACTTTAATTTTGCTCTTGCTTGGTTGTGAGATGGAAAAGTCCAGCAGCCTGACTCCCGCTTGATTTGCGACTTCTTGCATTTCAATTTCAGCCGATTGGCTTAAGCCGAACATTTTTGGCTCCATTCCTAAACAGGAGGCTCTGGGGAGCCCTTGCTCTAAGCCAGCCATAACGAGGTGTCTGTTGTTATTCCCGTCGATAGAATATAACCCCCCCCCCACCGCTTTCTTCTCCATCCCTCCACACTGTCCCAAAATAGTTCTGCAGGGCAATGAAGGCGCATGTCAGGATGGGCCCCGTGTGTGCAGCAGTGGTGCCCCAGGGAAAGAAACAGCCGCAGACTTGTGGGGCAGGCGGCTGGCTTTCTGTGGAGGAGGAAAAGCTAGAGCCAGTGATTTGTGAAAGAGGTAATGTGACTCTCTCAGCTTAGAGGAAAAGTTTTCTTTTCTAATAAATTATTTCTCCCCCTGGTTAGTAAATCATTTCCCCTTCCTAATGCATTTAATTTGCTATTCCCTTTAATTATTGCTTGTCCAGGTGGATCTTAAAGGCTGCAACTTAAAAGAAGTCTCTTAAGCCTAGCAAAAAGTCACCCCCTGCCACATCATTAACTGAAAGACAATCATAGTCTGCCTTGCCTTATAAAAATAAAGAGAGGGGTCAAAATGCTGCAGTAAGTGTTTTTCTAAAGGTAAAGTCTTGCATTAATAGGAAGGACTTTGGTGGGTTTTGTATCAGGCCCATCGGCCCCTTCTTGAATGACATGACCGTGTGTTAATGACAGCTTGCGTCCCTCCGACAATGCATTTTCAGGGAGATGCACGAGACAGTATTTTCTTAGTCAGAGGAGAATTGTCTTTGCATTGTCATTAGTTGCCTATAGCTTGGACCAGTTACAATACATTAGAGCATAACCCTCACTTCCCACAGGAAGGAACAAATTGGGAACCTGCTTTTTAAGGACAAAAGAAGACGCTGTGTTTTTTTCCATCCTGTACCTAAGAGTGCTGAGCTGTGTTTACCTTACAGCCCTGCCTCTGTCTCAGCTTGTGGCTGGCTGACTTGTACATGGAGATTTATTTCTGAATCAGCTGCCTAGCGCTGTAGCCTGCCTGTTGAATACACAGCCTCACAGCTGGCCTGGTCTGATATTTTGAAGTAATTTCCAGTAGCTTATGATGTGTTCCCTGGATGTTTATATCTTAGGGGAAGGAGAAAAAGGGTGAATCCAGAGGGAAGCAACCCTCATCTCTTTTTGAGATGTGGTTTGCAAACTGAGACAGCCCCAAGTCCCACAGTTGCCTGATCACAGATCTCAGGAGTCTGCACTGCAAAACAAAAATTTCTTCAGCAGAGAAAGCAGCTGTTCGGTGTTTTGGAACAACATGGATCTATCGCCGAAGTGTCTCAGTGCCAGAAGTGTCTGTGTGCTGAGCCAGCTTTGCTGCTGCAGGGGAAGGTGCCTCTGGGTGAAATCAATAAGGATCAAACTCACTCCTGGTCAGTGAAGGAACTCACTCACTGCACTTCTGGTCAGTGTAGGATCAGTGTTCCCAGAGGCTGCACTGCATCTGTCCCCAGTGTCCAGGAAGCCCTCACATTTTTTGAGACATCCAGCATGGAAAGGATCTCAGTAATCATTCACTGTGAAAAAGAATAGCTGTTTGAGCATATGCTTTAGCTAGAAAAAGAAGCACATAAAGTCTTGCTTTTATTCACGTGTATTAGGATTCTATACTTTTCTTGCACTTAGATGCACAGTTTTAGAAAATCAGCATTTTGGTTAACTCCTATGTTAAGGATACAATTTTGTCTGCCTGTCCTTGCTAATTAGAACATTATGGAATGAGCTAGTTAACCAGCCTCATGTAGATTTCTTTAGTCACTAGATTCAGTGTTGCCTTCTGCCCCTCTTCTTTATTTTGTCTTTCAAATCACTCATGCGAATGAGATTTAAAATTGACTTAATGAAAAATTTGTCTCCTATGTTAACCAAAGCTGTCTGAAAATTTATTAAGAGGAAGTGCAATTTTGCAAAGTTTTCATGGAAATGGGAATGAAAATCAATTCCTAAGCACAGCTAGGTTCATCAGTAAGGATATGCACCTGTAGGTGCACGTATCACTGCATCCACTTAAGTGGTCCAAGCTGAAGTGACAAGGCCAGGTGGACATCATGTTCCAGCCCTTGCTGTCTGCAGAAGCTGCTGCAGGAGGACCACTGCAGCCCAGGCAAGCTGTGTGTATCGCCAGCCAGCCTGGTGCTGCATCAGGCCCAAAGTCCAGCAGGCAGCAGAGATGGCAGGCAGCCTACAAGTGCTCGCAGAAGCACAGAATTTGGGCCAACTTCAGCAGTCCTGCTTCCAGGAAACAGGAGACAGAAATAGTGAAAAATGCATCCTTCTTTAAATAAAAATATCCTGTACAGATTACTTACACTGGATGTAGCTAGGCTTTCAGGTAGGATCAGAGTGTGCTTCTGCCTTTGTGTGTCTGCTGAGACACAAAACTAAATGGATCTTTTCACTGGGACAATGGTTGCTGATAAAGAACTTGCTATCAAATGTTATAAATGCGGCAGAATGCTCCTGTCTGTGGAATGTGCTCATCTGTTCTGCTGCATAAATCGTCCCTGTTACCATAAAATACGAGCATGTCACAAGATTTAATGTACTTATCCTTAAAATACCAGTATGCAGCAAATCCCTCATTTCTGTGTGGGAAACTGGTCTGTAATCATGAGGCGGTTGCCCTGCTTGTGGCTCTCGAGGCTAGGGAAGCCTGGCCAACCTCACTCTGTGGCCTTTTAAAGCGTCTTCATAGTCTCCTAGTTGCATCTTCAGATCTGCCATTAATGCTGGGCTCCCAGCAGACTCCCAGCAAGATCCTTCCTGCATCTGCTTATGCAGCGCCTCTGTTTCCCATGCATCCTGCTTTCCTCCAGAAGGAAACGCTATGTCATTATCCACAAGGCCATGGAATAAAAGGGGAAACAGAAAGCGATTACATGGGTCAGGCCTGGGAGTACAGTCTCTTGGCCTCCACCATTTCTCCCTCCTCAGCTAATTGTGCTTATATCTGTCAGCATTAATAGAGCAAGGCAGCAAGCATCTGGTATTATAGGCTTGGCTATCCTGAAAGCAGAAACCCTGGCAGTCCCTACAGGTTCCTTTTATTTCCCTGGCAAATCATCTGGAGGCCTGGACACTCTCTGAACAAAGCCTACACAACCAGTATGGCCTACAGCATTCGGATCTTGCCCTTGGGGTGCTTAGTCAGGGCTGTTCAGTCAGGTTGAGATGCACAGCACCAAACGACACAATTTAATCCCAGGGAGAACCAAACTGTCTCAGTTCTCCTCCTCACGTGGGCTGGGAGACATGCGCAGGACCCCCATGGACCAATGGCACTTCATGCTCCTGTGATCAGTCTGGAAGCCCTACCGGATGGGCAGAGAGCAAGGACTGGTGTCTGCTGATCCATCCTGCTACCCCCACACCAAATACCAGGCAGCTGCCTACAGAAAAAGCTGAAGAAGCCTCTCCAGGCGTGCCTCAAAGCAGAGGCAGGAGCAGAGTTCAGGTAAAATGCTCAGGTAAACAAAAATCAAACAGTGAGATAGCCAGATCGAACTGCAAGGAAAAGTCTACCACCAAAACCATTTTGCTTAATCCCAAGCACACTCTGTTGCTGCCCTGGCTGTGGAGAACTGCCATGGCTACTTTTTTGAGGTCAGCAATCCAACATTTCATCCCTTCCTGAGGCCTGCCAAAATCCAGCCCTCAGTTGCTGTTTTTGTTCTTGCTTTGTACCTTTAAGCTACACCCATACAATAAAAAAAGGGAAAGCAAAACTAAAAGTCAGCCTTGGATTATCCTGCTGTTAGGTTGTTGAGGATTTTTAAAGCTCACAGTTTCCTTGAGGGGAAAGAAGTTAACGTGTCAAAATACATCAGGCCTTCTGATGTGGGGCAGGCCTTGCTGAGTTCACTTGCTCGCTGTTTAAACATTCGTTTGCAAATTAAACCTCTTCTAATGAGAAATATCACATTCATTAACTGGTAAACATCTGTTTAGAATATAGTGTCCTCCTTTGTTCTAGAAAGTGGCCTCACAAGAGAAGCTATCTTTAATGCCGGTGATTGTTAGCTGCAGTAAAAGTCTCTATTCTTACAATATTTAAAAAGAATTGATGTTTGCATAACAAATTACAGAAATTCGGACTGTGAATGCACACATCTGCAGTATGTCCTCAAGGCACTAACCTTACCCAAGAACACAAAGTCCTTGTTATGATATGCAAACTAATGAATCAGCTGAAGGAAGCATTTATATTTTGACAGTGTTTTAACTTTCTCTGACTCAAATTAGCTGCGACTGTGGCTGTTGCTCGGCAAGATTCTGTGAACTTTCTAGCTAAAATTAGCCTTTCCAGTGCTGGATGTTATCACAGAGAAAGTAATTTGCTGGAAAAGGAATAATTGATCTGAAACTATCTCTTTCACATTTTGGTATTTGGAAGAAACAAGTAGCAGATTGTCACTGTCTTTTTCATTCTTGCCCGTGATATGTTAAAACTGTACTGGTGTTAGCAGGTTTAAATATAAAATTAAACCATGTTCAGGTAACAACTCTGACTGTGTGTGGATAGGCTGTGCTCTTACACAGTATGGATTTTTTGTATATTAGTCCACAAACACTTAAAAAACCTCCATACCTAAAATCTTCCATATACATCTTGTTTATTAACTTTTCCTTAAAGTATGTAGTGTTGGTTGATGTTGACCATCCTGTCAGGAAGAACTTATAAAAGCCCCGAAAGTCAGTTTATCAACACTTCTAACATTTATTAATCACTGTATTGGGCATTTTGTGTAGTGGTTTAAATTTCATCTTTAGATTTATTTTATTTTTCTTTATTTTTTTAATTATTTTCTTTAAACTTTCAAACCTCAAGGTCCTTCTGTCCTCTGCTAGACATCTGCTCCAGAATTCGAAAAGCATTTAATCAGCTGTAAATGGCTCTTCTTTTTTCTTTTAATTTTTTTTTTTAAACAGGATTTGGCCTTCAACATTGGTTTGGCAAGCCCAAAGCTTTACTCCCTATCAGATTTGAAGGAAAAAAGTAGGAAGCAGTGGTCTTTGTCTTGTGACACACAGAAGTTTGGATTTGAGCTTGTACAGCTGTTTCCAACCTGCAGAAAAACCTGAGTTGCAGCATGTTCTCTGGAAACGTGGATTTAACACACTCCTGCGTGTGACTTTATTCCACCTGCCCGAAACCGAAGCTTTTTGCACTGTGACCTGTTTTGGGACCTGTACTGCCTGGCATAACAACCTGAGAGCTGAGTGATGTGCTGTGGAGACACAGCCCTCTGAAATGTCTGTATCATAGCATGAGCCCAGGTGGCTGGTTCCCCCACCATGAGAAGAGGACCATGCCCTGGGCCCTTTGCATGTTTAAGACTCATGGAAAACTCTCGTCTAGCTCTCCTGGAGGTATTATTTACAAGAACAGTTCGTATTCTTACTCAAAGATTACACAAACACTGCTGACAAGGTCAGTGTCAAGATGGATTAGCTGGCATGTAAAGGCCAACCGCGTAAATAAAGCTCCCCAGGAGTAGTATTAACTTGCCTTGTAGTGCATTTATTTATTTAGCAGCTTTTTTCATCTCTTAATTTTATGAATCAGTCATTTTATTTGTTTATGCCGGTTTCTACTCCTTATCTTTCTTTACCCTTCCTCTATCTCTGCAGTGTGCTAGCAGGTGGTGGTGCTAAGGGATATTTCTTCTGCCTTGTTCATGTGTGCTTCTGTTCTACCCGTTGCTTGTGCATGCTGTGGAAAATGGTGGCCTTTTTAACATTTGCATATCCAATAAATGAGGTGTGGTAAATTTGCAAAACACTGCCTAGAGATTGGATGATGAGCATGTTTACTCACATGGACATACATACACATGCATCCCTACCTTTACAAAGCTACCCCTACCTATACAATTATTTTTCTGTACTATAGTATGGAATTTCTGCAAGGGATCAGGATATGACTATAGTGTTAAGCTATTCACTGGCCATTTCTTTGTTAAAGCAGTTCAGCTCATGAAACCACAGCTCAGATCTCTGCAGTGGAAGCAAACACAATGTATATACAGATGTTTATTCTCATCCATTATAAAAGTATTCCATTGTTCATTTCTCACTTCATCACACTCACCTGTGCAGGTAGGAGGCTCTGCTGCTGCTGCTGCTGGGAGAGGTTTTCCTCGCTCCCACTTCACTGCTGCTGCTGGCATCACTCATGCTCACTGGGGCTGGACCTGAGGCTGGCTTCTCTACTGCAGCACTCCCCATATTTGCTTGATTTGTAGTGTCCTGTGACGGTGTTCACAACACTGAATTCTCTTTGCTCCTTACTTGCTTGTTTCTGGTTTTCTTTTCTTTGTTTCTGGGTAACAACCACTCTATGCTAAGTGTACAACACAGAAGAAAAAGTCCCTGCCCCAGAGAATCTGTCATGCAACATTATTCCCATCTTAACTCCTTAAATAATTGTATTCATCTCTGTCTTTCTCACCTCTGTTTCACTGTGTAACATATCTCATGGCTTCTGTGGCTGCATTTGAAAGAGACTATATATGTCAAAAAATAAATTGAATATCTCTCATGCTAACAAAGCATATATTAAAGAACTGTATAAAAATTCTGTTCTTTCTCATCCTAGTGAACCATGGTAACTATAGCCGATATTTTCACTTTAGTTGCCTTACACTGGTTTTTGAAATGTATGTTTAAACTTCTATATAAATGGTGTACCACAGAGGAAGCTCAGTGTCTACAGTTTTGTGGGTACCTAGAACTTCCTCAGATAAAACCCTAGAAGTGTTTTTTTGATAAGATTTTGGTGCTAAACTAGGCATTTTCAACCCCAGCTGTCCAAAATCCATGAGTCATAGAAATCTGGAGATTGGATGAAGAGTTTTGAGATCAAAAGCAACTTGAACTAAAAGCTGGCTGGTTTTCAATGTTTCACTTTGTTTTCTGATGCTCCAGTCTTTGAAGTTTTATTTCCAAGATTTTTTTTTTCACAACCAGGAGGGACAGCAAGTCCTTTATTGTCAAATAAGAGCTTGACAATGTCACGTGAATCCAGCTATGGCTTTTATTATTTTATCGTGTTTGTTTGCAATACTTAAGACTCCTCTGAGAGTTAGTAACAAGGGACTTAACTTTGAAAATTTTAGCATCTGCATCTGATTACATCTTTGCAGGACTTCTTCTTAAGGGTCTGAACTTTGAAATAGCTTCACATTAACTAGCACTGTGATTCTTCTGAAATAGGGCTCTAGGTTTAATTCTTCTTTTATACAACTCAGGTCTTGTGTTTCACAAAAGCAGCGTCACAGAAATGTGAGCTTGGAGGAGGCAGTCTTAGTCCACAAATTAGGTTCTTGGCTGTAAGATTTCATTGTTATCTTACTAGGTGAGAGTTATTTGGTGTCACGAAGGAGTACTTTCTTTAGTGCAGAATTTGGTTCTCTTCTGTTCCCTTGTGGGATTATCACTTTTTACTGTATTCTCTGGTATGCGTGACACTGTAGCTATGGTGCATGGTTTCAGCTGCTAAATCTGTGTGAATCAGCATGGACTAAAAGTTTGTCTTCAGCACATGAGATTCTTTAGTGTGCCATGTCATCTTCAGAGAAATAAACTGCCGCAATATCTAAGCTGCTTTGCATTTATTTTGCATTAAGACATTACCTCATTTCTGATTGTGTAAATTCAGATGGTTTCTGAACAGCAGAAGTAGTTTAGATGCTTACATTTTGGAAAGGTAAATGCTTATGTTTTAAATGTAAAACCCAAGCAACCTTTTAGGAGATCTCAGGGTTCTGCTTCCCTCTCTTTAACCTATACTAGCTCTGCTACCCCACAATAATCTCGGTTGCCTGTGCTCCTATGACTGTTTTGCAAAGGCTGCAAAATTCAATAATTCAGCCAATATTTCAATATAATCGATATGAATCGTCATCAATGGCTTTTATGAAGATGTATGTTTTACCAGTAATGCTGGCTTAACCATTCTTGTTTCCCACTCCATATTGTTTGCTACACCCCAGGAAAAAAAGAAAAAGAAAAAGAAAAAGAAAAAGAAAAAGAAAAAGAAAAAGAAAAAGAAAAAGAAAAAGAAAAAAGAAAAGAAAAGAAAAGAAAAGAAAAAGAAAAGAAAAGAAGAGAAGAAAGAGAAGAGAAGAGAAGAGAAGAGAAGAGAAGAGAAGAGAAGAGAAGAGAAGAGAAGAGAAGAGAAGAGAAGAGAAGAGAAGAGAAGAGAAGAGAAGAGAAGAGAAGAGAAGAGAAAAGAGAAGAGAAGAGAAGAGAAGAGAAGAGAAGAGAAGAGAAGAGAAGAGAAGAGAAGAGAAGAGAAAAAGTAAAACCTATATGCTTATTTATTTATATGTTACTTACCTGTCAATTATTTTTTAGTCATCTGTGTTTAACCATTTATTTATACATTTGTAACCTGGGACAACTGAGCGGTGTAAGTGACCGCAAAGTCTGACAAAGCGAAGGGGCAGAGAAGAGCCAGTCACTAACAGCTGGAGATGGTTGATCTTTCACTTGGTGCTGCTTCTGGAAGAGTGATGAGAAGGCTTCAGAGTGTGCCTCCATATACATTTTATTGGCATGGGAATGTTGTTGTAGATGTTGCCTGTCCCGTTTTTCCCATAGGCTCCTGCTCTTCTGTTGCGATTTATCGCTCTCTGATGTGCGCCAATAAAACCGTAGGACTGTGCCATAAAACAGTGAAGGAAATGAGAGAACTTGAGGTTTTTGGAGGCTAATTTTTAATGATGAGTTTACAGCACAGCCTCTCAGACCGTTGCGTCAGCACAATCAGAAAAACAAAACAGAACAGTGAACTGTGGAGTGGGGGATGCAGGAGTGTGCAGGAGCAGATCCCATACACCAGCCTCAAAGGCAAAGAAAAGAAACGCAGAACCACATCCCATCTCCTGATTCAGGAGCATTGGCAGTTTTGTCCTGTACCTTTAAGGTATGAAATACACGAGCACCAAAAAAGCCTCTGTTTCTGTAAAGCAGTTAATTAAACTAGTCATATTTAATTGCTTTGGTAAAATAGCTAATAATTTAAACTTCTGGTTGCACATCAAAGACACCCCTTCATAGGAGACACACAAAATACACTCAGTTGGCACTTGGCATTGCTAATTTTTCAGGAGCAATGGGGAATTTTAGATGCAGAAGTGTCATTGATTTTCAATGGAGTTTAAACCACCAAATCGTGTAGATTCTTGAAAATTTTTACCCTTATTAATTTTCTTTGGTAAGTTAAAAAGCCCGCAAGCCACGAGCAGTTGTACAAAGAAAATGCTTACTGCACTGGATGCTTAGTCATAAGGATTTAGCATTAGGACTCTTCCTGTGTCTGCGTGTGTGTGGCTTTACCACACATAAATTATCCAGTTTTCCTTTTTCCTCTTACTTGGGGAAAAATATACGGAAATTTCAAAGGCAAGAGAATCATCTGAAAGGTGAACCCATTCCTTTTATTCACATTTTTGATTCGGGCAGGAAGATAGCCCCAGAACCAGCCCCAGTAAAAGAACTGCTTTATGCAAAACCAAAGAAAAGCAAAATAAAGCTATCAAGTTGTAAAAGCAGTGGAGCTGCAACTCCTTAGCATTCAAGCAACTATCTCTAGAAGGGAAGCAGATTATGCGGTATCATATTGCAAAAGGGCTGTTCGACCCTGTTGCGCTTACTCGGAGCTACATATTTACTTTTGTCACTGTATAGCAGCGATTGCATTATATCCTTCCTGCCAGGACACGAGGAGAAACAGAAGGTTAAGTGAAAACGGGGGAGGGGAATAGAAAGAGGGAGAAGCAGCAGTAAAAAGGCTGAGAAGGGAGAAAAGAACAGCTGAAGAGAAAAGAAAAAGTTCCTCACCAAGGCACGAAAAACTCCCAGAGTAACACAGAGAAGTAAGGGATCAGGCACGGCACATATGGGATTACTAACGCAATTGTATTTCATCTCTGATACGGCTGAAAGCAAGACAGTTTGGTCGTAAGAAAATAGATGCATTTTATTAAGCGTACATAAAAGTGGGAGGCACAGAGTCTGGCACCAGCATAGCCTAAAGGAATTTCCATGATTTGTGCCATGAATGCTGAATGGGAGACTTGTAAAAAGCACCTTTCTCTTAAGGATAGCCTGCTGGAATTTGTAAACATAGCCAAAAAAACAACAACAACAAACCAACACTGAATTAAAATACTAGAAAGTGGTGGAAATAGCAAAGCCTTGTTCTCTGGATAGAAAAAACTGCAACCAAACTCTTTTACTTTAGAGGGACCTGAGCAGTCCAGAGGCTGTGGAGGTCACTTGGAGCAATGGCTTTTAAAGTGATTAAAGTTAAAGGGGGACCATATGACATGACAAAGAGGAGGGGAGTGTCTCAAGATGGTGGTCAGTAACAAAAATGGCAGGAGCAGGAAGCAAAGAGGTCTGGTTTTGTAACTCTGGGTTTCCAAACTCAAGGGTTCATTTGGGGAGGGCGGGGGGGGGCTGATGAGGGACACAACCCCACTGGCAAGCCTCCTTGCCTCTCCCGCCCTGTGAGCTGATGCCAGAGCTCTGGACAATGTAAAAACTATTTTCCCTTTGCTGGAGAAAGGGCTAGAAGGAATATTCAACCCATTAACAGAATGTCTTGGCTTGAGTAGAAATGGCATTTTTCTCAAAAATGTGTTAGCTAACTCATTTAACCACTATATTATATATTCTACTTCAGGCTGAGCAAGTAATGTTTTAATATGTGTTAGGCTGTGTACGTGAGCCCTAGGACTGAGCCAACTAAACCATATTAAAGTACAATTTGTCCTGTCAATAACAGGAGCCTAAAACCTGTTAGCTAACACACTTAAGGAAAGAGAAAGAAAACAAAACTCCTTTTATTCCCGTCTATCAGCATCTCTAGCAGTGAAAGAGGTTTGTTGATCTCAAGATGGTCTCAACATGGGAAACAGTGGAAGGCAGCCAAATGGGTACATTAAGTTACAACTGTCTATAAAAATATTGGTTTATAGCAGCACAGAAGCTTTTGAGTCTGGCTCTTCCAAATTAGCTGCATGAGGAGGTTAGGGATCTCTGCTAAGTAGAAGGGACACTTCAAAAGAAAACCCTGACTCTTGCTTGCGAAGTGCAAGTCCATAATAATTTTGAGGGTACTATAGTGATGGGGAGAGAGACGTTGTGGCATTGCTTTGGCACTGAGAAAATAAGAGTAACTTCACTGAACACAGGCAGACTCAGTCTTGTGCAATGGAGAAGAATAGCATCCTGGAGCTGTAGCATTATTGTATGTTGGGTAATCAGATTTTCCACTGTCTCTACAAGATAAATATGAACCGGAGAAAGAAGCTCTGCCTGATTCTGTTCTGCTCTGATTTGCTGTAGGGGTGGCATATTTGATGAGCGTTGCAGAGGTGTGCATAGCCCTTTTTGAACCACAGCAGTCCCTGGCATGGGAAGGTGGCTTTACTGGGTCTGATCCTCTGAACTGGTGTCCTTCCATACCGAATTACACCTTTTAATCGCACTGAGAGAGCGCCCACTATTCACCAGTGTAGGTCTGGCCCGTATATTTATAAACTACAATGAGCATGCACAACATTTTATGTAACAAAAGGATCTTACGGCATAACCCAGACTGAACAAAGAAAAGGATCACAATTAACAATGCAAGGAAAGAGGAAGAATGAAGGGAAGAATGAGAAACCATGATGAAATTACTCTATACACATCAACCTTTACTTCCTTTTATTATAACGCCTTTATTTAAACAATGATCAAATAGTGAATACTTACAGATTTATGAATACTAAGTTTGCCTATGGAGCATCAGCAGACTGAGGAATTGTCATAAGAACAGTTATGGAAAGCAACAGCAGACTTTTCACTGAGAAATCCCCCCTATTCCCTTGCTTTGTAATTGTCACCTGTAATAAATTCACCTCACTTGCCCCTCCTAAGCAGCAAACAAGCAGGGATTAAGTTCTTTGGCCTCATTTTCTCTTGTTCTGTATCTCAGGTGATTGTTTTC